CGCAATTTTAAAAACCTGCCTTTGCAAGGAAAAAATACAGCTGGGTCAATGCTAGAGCTATATAAACCTTCCTTGCTTCATTGTTGTGCAGAAAAAGACAGCCAAACAAATAGTAAGGACTTGAAATTGCTATGCTATGTCCTCAGGAAGTGCACACTGGTTAATGGAAAACGAATAATGCATCAATACATTTGAAATTCCTTTCTGAAAAGAATTCAGTAAACTTTCTCTCACCTTACCCTTCAGCATTGGCTGAGGATCAAAATTTCACTCTGGTTCCTCTCAATGTTAGGCTTCTGGAATGATACTGTTATCAAAATGAATGTTGATATAAAAAGATATGCGATTTCCAGTTAAAAATAAATAGTGACACGGTGAATAGGTACTGAATAATGCGTATCCAGTCGATCTACACATAAAACAAATCATGCAAAAGCCCAGCAAAAACCAACTAACCAATGAACCACGCATTTTTGGAAACATGCGTCAGAAGCGTCACCAACAGCTGATTGCAAGGAATGTTGCAGCGACTAAATTATTGCAGCCGTAGTTAGTGCGAACTTGTTGCGAAAACACCGTTGTATAATGCATATTAATGTGCCATTCTGATAATATTATTTTACACAACAGCTAAAGTTTTACAATTCAGAGGTTAATCACCGGTTAGGAAATAAAGAGACAGTAAATACTAAATAAAATGTAATAATTTTATAGTTGGTCTTGGTAATGCTCTCCGGCTGATCCTCTCTCGGCAATCGGCATACAAATGATAAGAAAGTAAAAAGACAAAAGAAATGCGACCAGCTACGTGGTTTTGTAACATGTATAACTGCTATTTTGAGGTATTCAAAAACCAAGACGGAAAAAAACTGATTGTAAAATTATTATTGCGTCATCAATGACAGCTTTCTTTCGCCTCAGAGACCAAAATTGACGCAGTCAAATGCCAATCCTTGTCAGAATGTCGAAAGTGCGCCAGTATTGTATTGCGTTATGTTTGGGCCGCATGCCAGTCAATATTTTTATTTTTTGTAAGGGTAATTGCAGGTAATTGGTGTGTTGTTTTCGTAATATCAATATAGGGTGGGACAGAACATAGAGTAGGATAGGTATTAGGTAATCAATGAATTTGCATCAAATTTTGTTTAGCTCTTTTTATGCCGACCAGACGCAAATAAAGTAACATGTGGCATTTGCTCTGATTTTCAACATCAACATCTCATTTTAGTCTGGGTTCTTCCATAATGTATATCTAGTGCACACTGCACATAGACTTCAGTTCAGCTTCCTATAAGTTTGCTTTCAGGTTATTTTATGTTTATTGAATGCTTTCATCAGCATTTATTTATGCTTTGTAGTTTGTTGTTTGTACCCTGGTTTGGTCATTGCTAGACTGTGGATGCTATTGCTGGTTGTTTTCAGTTTTGCATTTGAAATGTGCTTCCTTGATATATTTTTATATTTGGTTCTGTTTTAAAAGTTGTTTTGATGAATAGTGTATTGTTAACCTGAGCAAATGCACTTGGCATTGTGTTTTGCATCTAAAAAAAAAATAAAAATAAATTTATAGGTTCTAAAGTCTGACCGCCAAATACCCGCCACACGACAAGTTTTGCTTCTCGAACCCGCCAAAAACCCTGCGGGTTTTGAAAACCCGCAGAAAGCGGGTTTGCGGGTTCAAAAAGGGCATCTCTATTCTGGATGGTACGTTTGACCTGAAGCGTTGTAT